CATCCTTCAGGTCCCAGGAAGCACCACCTCCTTTATGAATCCTCCCTTGACTTCTCACCTTTTTCTATGAGTTCCTTTGAAATTTAGAATTGGTACCTCACAATTTATCACTTAAATATTTTGCATTTTACTAGTATAGTATTAATCATGTCTCTCCCATCGTAAGCGCCTTGTTTTTATATTCCTTCATAGTGCCTAGCGTGGGGTTGAAGACATAGTAAGTGCATATACTTCTCAGTTAATTCCCACGTTTTTTGACCTATCATTTTGAGTAGGAATTATTTTCATGGATGGGCCCTTTTGAAGGATCCGGTCTTTCGCAGTCCTCAGGTGCTGCACCCAGCTCAAAGGAGAATGTGAATTGAGATACAGGAACAAGGGAAAGTACAATGTAGCAAAACCATACCCAACCCTACACTTCAGCGTTCAAATTTTTTAAACCCAACAATTTTCTGGCCATCTACCACCTCCTTACCCACTGCCACCACGGAGAACTCCATCCCAGAGAACACTGTACACACCTGTCCTCGAAATATGAAAATGTGTGGTTACCACCCATGTCAACCGACAGTGATTTCCACGGCACGCCAGGGATCAGCTCGGAGTTTCACCCAGAGGGATGGGCAGTAATCATGAGGCGAGTCTGAAGCCCCACGTGCCTCTTCTTCAGAGAGCAGACCCAATGGTCCTCCAATGTCACGAAGACCATAGTCACCGAGGCCACTGTTGCTCTCAGATCAGTGTCTCAGGCTGGGTCATCTACTTTGCGAGCATGAGCATCAGACAGGAGGAGGCAGGAGGGAGAGAGTCCCCTACAGAAGTCAACGGCAGAAAGAGGTGCCTGTGATAGTCACGCACGTGGCAGCCCGCAGACTCCAGAAAGCTTCTTGTGGCAAATGCAGAGCACGGGCTTCCGCTGCTGACCCTGTCCTGCCAACCCCGCCTGGCAGCGGGGTCTTCAGGTGGGAGAGAGAAATGGGGCTACGCAGCTATTTGAATCAGGGTGGTGGGACCTGAGCCCAAAAAAACAAACCACCCCATAAAGGTTACTATTGCCTGTTTTTAATTGTCGTTCAAGTTTTCAATTCTGATAAGCTCAAAACTGTCCTGCACATTTGAAGGACTTTGCTGTCCTCGGAGGTTTTTTTAGACGAGAGAAAATTTAGCCCACTTTGTGCTGCGCCAGCGCTCTGCGCCGAGCACACTAACCTTCTATTTCTTGCGCACATGAAGGTGTCCATCCCATCCAGCGTGCTATTTATACAGGCTGCCCTCAATTCCCCAAGGCGGGTGTCTGTCTGAGGCACAGTTTGAATGTGGACTTTGGGGACAGTACTCATTTGCATCCGCAGTCCCTCGGTCACCCGTCCCATGTTATTACGCTTCGCGAGTCCAGGTTCACTGCCTCGATCGCTCCCTTTGGGAATCTCATGAGACTATGTTTACTTCGAAGGCAATAAACACACAGTCTTTCTCTGGCACCAGCCTGGCGTTGCTCCTCGCCTCTCCTCTCTTGTCCACAGCAGGCCGTGTCCCCATCTACACTATGTCATCAGGTCCGCTCTGCTCAGCCGTCCATCGCGTGACACATGACAAACACGGGTTTTGTGCACATCAATCTGAGTTCAGGAGCACACCCTCGGGCTGGGTGCGGGGTTGTAAACCAGTTGAGAACCAGTTCCCCGGGTGTTGGAAACGAGCCATCAGGCAAGAGTTGGCAAATGACTTCATCTTTCCTGCCCTCGACCGCTCTAGTCCCCTCGCTCTTCTGATCACCCAGTTCACTGTCACATTGCCATATCCGACTCAGCGCTTTTAGATCCCAGTGTAAAAATCTAGTCATTCTCACGTCCCTGAGGGACTCCTGGTTCTCCACCTTCTAGGAGTCTAACAAGAACCGTGCTCGAGTCACTGAGCACCCAGGGCTGCTAGGTAAGGCCCTGCTCTCCCCAGCGCGAGTCCACCTCTGACCTCAAGAGAGGGCCTCGCCCTGGGCACGTAATGTCTCTACTTTAGTATGGATGATGCTGGAAGCAGTTGGGGATCTTTGGAAAATGTTAAGTACAAAAATAATAATAGTCCAGAAAATATTGATTTTGACAATAACTTTGTTTAGCTAGCATGGCTTGATTGGGACTTTCTCATCAAATTACCAACAGGGGACTTGAAATCAATACTTGATAGTAGTTGGGTGTTTTTATTTTATTTTATTTTTTATGCTTTCGGCTTTAACTTAGAGAGAGTTGGTTCCCTTCCCCCAAATGATAGCAATGTGCGGTTGCCTCCACCTCCACGTGACATTTTAACTTAGGAACATATGATATGGGGGAAGAAATGAAAATTGTAATTACTGTTCAGAATTACAAGAGGAAAAGACATAGTTTTGAAATCAACTTTAAATCCAAGTAATTTAATCATTTTTGTTTGAGGATCTCTAAGTGTTGTTAAATATTTGCCATTAGAGCTTTACCGTCTGAAAAGAGAAATTGTACCATCTTAAGATTAGATTGATTTCTACTGGCTATTATAAGACTATCATAAGTTGCCTTCAAAGAAACCAAGAGTCCACTGTACAGATTGACTCACCTCCCTGCTAATGTCGCCCAGGAACAGGTGAAACTTCAATTGAAATTTTCAATGGGGTTTTGGATTTGGTTTCAGCAGTGGGTAGTTAATGCTCAGTCATTAGCACTTACTGTTTGCCTGGCACTGTTCTAAGTGCTATAAACATATCTTAACTCATTTAATCCTCACAGGACCACCAACAGGTGGATACTCTAGTTCACAGATGAGAAAACCTGAAACACAGAGAGGAAGTAACCCAATGTCACATGGTAACAGGTGAAAGAGCCAGGAGGCACTCCCAGGAAGCTGGGCTCTGTCTTAAATACCGCACCTTAGTGCCAGAATGAATTACTAACAAATTCTCTCACACACACACACACGCCCCACCCCGAGGATCCTTCTCCCCAGCAATATCATGGGTTTTCATAAGAAAGAATAAATGAAAATGGCTGAGTACATGAGAAGACATTAATCAAGACACAAAAAGATCAGCGATTTGCTTGAGATCACTCAGTGAAGCAGCAGGAAAGGATCCAGTTCCTAAGCAGTATAGTTCTTGCCATTCTGGATTTAGGCTCCAACTGACAAAACACCCTCTTCCAGCTGCAATTTCTGGACTCTGAATGACTACCAACTGGAAGTAAGATTGATGGAACCAGGAACCAGAGATGGATGGACTCAGAACACAGGTGCACAGTTTCACATGCAACAGGCATGGTCCAATGGGCCAAGCTTTCTGTCACCTGTTTGGTTCTACTCAAGGCCTAACATATAATGAATGAATGGAAGATAAACCTGGCTTAACACCCCATCCAATAAAGTCTCTTCACCAACTCCTCCCAGCTCACCATTGCCGGGGGCGAGCAAAAGAATTCTCCACCCACTAATGAGAGTTGTTTGTGTGGGGCAGTTTGTGGAAGGAATTCTGCCCCATGCTCACTGATGTTCTTCTTGCCCCTGACAACCTTGGGCATCATAATTAAAATTTGCCCACATTTCCTTTCCTGAGAACGGAGAGCCTATTTCATGTTCAGAAATGACCTAATGTTTCATCTTTGACATTTCAGAATAATTTTCAAGGATTTCTATTTAATTCCGGACTCGAAAAAGGAAAGTGGGGAACAACCAATTCATTATGCCCTTGCCTTTTCCGGTCCCTTTATCTGAGGGTGGTCTGTTTTCTGAAAATGTAGGGAGAAACAATAATTATTTGTTGGAAGGCTGTATCCAGACTCTAAATTACAAAACATGATTTACAGTCTTGAAGGGTAACGATCTGTCCACCTGTAGATCTGATCTTTACAGAAGATGGACGAGTAGGGGGATTTTTTAGAGTTTAGTTTGTCTTATGTTGCACCCAATAATTCAAAGCTAGTCAGAGTATTTTCCTGAGTCAGGAGCCTTGAAATGAAAATGCCATAACTGTCAGTGAGACCGATGAGCAGGATCAATACAAATTGCCACAGCTGGGGAGTTGAGGGAGACATTAATTTAGCATTCTGTGTCTGCAAAAGACCACATTCTCTAACGCCAGACTAATGCACAATGTAGGAGAATTTAGTGTTAGTGTTGGAATTCCTGGGGTGGGTCCGGTGGGGAGCCTTATGGTTTTGTTTGTTGCCAAGCGTATCGCCTAGCAAATCGTACTACACCAGGACCTAAACCATAGGCAGGACTTAAATCACCCTTCAAGACCAGGTTTCTCACAAGCCATTTATATCATCTTCATCATTTGTTTGGTGGGTGGAAGTGTGGCGAAATATACAAGGTAGCGAATGCCTAGACAACTTTCATCGCGTCTGCAAGAGATATCCTGACACTGCAGGAATCATGATTTGTCCGCACATAGATTTGTACTGACTTCTTTATAGCAGACTGACAAGTAGGGGACTTTTAAAAAGATTAGTCTGTCTTATGTTGCACCCAGTAATTCAGAATATTAAACAGAAGTCTGACTTATTCCGTTCCCAATACATTATCTAAACTTCCTTTTCATTATCAAGTATATGACTAACACAAGGAACGTCTTCCTCACCCCCTTCCCCAAAGTAGTTCATACAGCAAACAGCAAGAAGTTTAGAGGCACTGACAGCCTCTCCTGCCTTCACATGTAGCTTTGAGCGTGAGCTGTTTACTGGTCATCAAATTACTTAAGGGTCAGAAATGCAGTCTTTTCATAATGTTCTACAAGATAGGCCCATAGGTGTGCATTCTTATTATAATGTTCTACAAAACAGACTCATCACATTGCTATTATTTCTAAATTGATACGCCCAGTCCATCAAAATCTCACTGGTGAAAGGGTGTATTGAACATGCATGGCGGGTTGCCCTGGAGTTATCGACGCTGGGGCCACTGCATTTGGCTTGTCTTTTCTCCCTCTGCCTAGCAAAAATGACCTACTAGGCCCCTGATACGCCTTTCATTTCCCGTAGAGTTCTGGTGAGGGGGATCCTCTAGCCGAACCAAGATTATCTATCAAGAATTCTGCGGTGCAGTGTGATTCTATACTTCCAGCGATTGACCGAACAGCCGTCAAGCAGAAACATAAAAGTACCATGACTCCAAAGAAACCAGAGAAAGTGGGCCCCAGCAAACCCTCCCCAGGTGAGTGACTGGTTTATTCAAATTCACAAATTCTAAAATCCCAGTGTTAGAGGTAACCATCAGATCGGTGACATGGGTTACACCCAGTGCTTTCCCAGTGGCTAATGCAGATTTGGGAGGGTCTTGATGACCTTATGCAAATAGTCAAATTCATTTTGGAGTTGGGGTCAAGGAGGCACGGCTTGTGCACAGGAGCTGTCTCCACGGCCTGCATCTTCTGCCCGTCATTGGCTGTGTGTGGCACTTGCCTAGAGCTGCCGCCTTTTCATATTCTTCACATTTGGGGGAGGCGGGTAAAGGCATTTGGCCCCAGGTATCAAGTTTTATGACTCGAGCAAGAGCATGAAGAGAGGCTTTCACAAGCCTCTGAATGGCATAATTTACAGCCAAGAGAGAGAGTAATAAAGTCCCCCACTTCTGAGGTTGTCCTCTCTGGGAGAAGGGGCTTGATAAATCCTTCCTTTTGTGCAATTTGGTAAATAATTCACTCTTTAGCTGCCTTTGAAGCAAAGACCAGTCCTCTGCTTGAGGCAGGAGTGATTTAATAGTATCCAGAAAGGGGATACACTCAGCTGAACATTTAGAGTCCCTCGGGCTCATCCCCATCAGAGGCAACATCTGTAGGACAAACTCAGTTCCTCTGGGAGCTGACACTGAAGCTGGGGCAACTGGGAAGGAAAGTCTGCCTTCTGCTTGCAGTGCAGTGGAAACGATCCAAATTAACTGCCGGAGGATTCATAAATAGCTCACAATGCGCTTACATCCAAGTCACAGCTTTGCTTTCTAATCCTAAATAGCTCTTGTCATGCAACCATCCATCCAGCTAAGTCTTAATGGATTTTTTAAGAAAATGGCAGCTCTTGATTAACCAACCACCTTTCATTGCTTTTAATGAAGTAAAAAACAAATGGGCTCCTAAAATGATGTCCTTTTCAGGCAAAGCCCCAACTCTTTTTCCTTAATCAAGGGAAAGTATCATCACTTGGAAGATTTTTAGTAGGAATTGGATTTTTAATTCAACTGTTTAAGAGTGAAATAAGGCAGATAAGATCATTCCCCAAATACTTCAAAATGCATGTTGTAACTTATTGAATTGAGGATGTTTTAAATAGAAAAAAATGAATTTAAATTTAAATAATGCAGCTCCATTCACTTGATATAATTTTTAGCTGCCTCGCTAAAACTGGGTAGCATGGTGTGCCTTGTCATCCATAGGGAAAACATATTAAAACGAACCGTGCAGGCTCACTCAGTGATGTTAGCTTGTCTGATTAACACAGATGCAAGTTCTCTATACGGAACTTACAATACTGACAAAAAGGATGAGTTAATTCACTTTATAAAACATCAAATTTGAAGAATTACTAGAGTGCAAAATACCAAGGTTTAGGTAAGAGAGCCAAGTTGGCAGAAAGATATCCATTTCATCAAATAAGGGATGTTACTTGTAGTAAAAAGCCTTTAAAAACCACCACTTTTATCATCATATTATGGCCCAGACCATAATATGGTGACAAATCAGAAAATTCAGATAAATAGCCTGCTATCATAGAAAAAAAACGATTTGGGGCCTGAATTATCTGGACACGTTGATCCAATTCACCAGGTAAATGTATACTTTCCTGCCTTTCTTCACCTCTGCAGAGAAATTATTTTCCTAAAGCATTTGGGGGGAAATCCAAAGGTGGCAGTGAGTCACCAAAACTTCTTCCCATGCCAGACCTTGGATTCTGCAAAACCGAAGCATCAAACACAGTGAGATCCCTGGGCAATGCCTGCCATAGGTTAACCTTCCATACGGTGTTATGGAAGATTAACCAAATAAAATAATGTAGATGGGACAAGTGTCGGCGAGGATGTGGAGATAAGGGAACCCTTGCACACTGTCGGTGGGAATGCAGCCACTGTGGACAAACAGTATGGAGTCACCTCAAAAAATTAAAAATGGAACTGCCTTATGACCCTCTTCTGGAAATTGATCCCAAGAAACCCAAAATACTAATTCGAAAGAATATATGCACCCCTATGCTCACTGCAGTGTTATTTACAATTGCCAAGACTTGAAGGCAGCCCAAGTATCCATAAGTAGATGAGTAGATAAAAAAGCTGTGGGACATTTACACCATGGAATACTACTCGGCTGTAAAAAGGAAGAAAATTTCACCCTTTGTGACAGCATGAATGGACCTGGAGAACATTACGCTAAGTGAGATAAGCCAGTCAGAGAAGGGCATGTGCCATATGATTTCACTCCGATATGGAATTTAATGAACAAACTGAACTACCAAGCAAAATAGAGATGGGCTCATAGAGAGCAGGCAGACAACAACAGTGGGCGGTTGTTGCGGGGGTGGAGGGGTTGAGCAAAAGAGAAAAAAGAGAACTGCTGTCTACAACTCCTGAAATGGCTATTTACAACATAGGGACTACCAGTGCTCTCTACAAATAGGTCTGTAACTGAGGTGTCAGCTGTCCACTGTCCTTCACACTATTAGAAAGAGTCGTGCATTTTAAATGAAGCCCATGTATTCCCTGGAACTGTTTCTGAGTTGGCTTGTGGTTCTCCTTACCCTCTCTCCACTCAGGGGGTGTGTGATTTATGGGTGGGCATGAGCTTTGGGGTAAAAATGCTTGGATCAGCGTCTGGGCCCCATTGCTTACTACGCTGTGTACCTTTGGGCAGGTAACGTCTTGTGCCTCAGTTTCCTCATCTGTAAAACAGGGGGTCAAAAAGGATCTCACCCANCCATTGCTTACTACGCTGTGTACCTTTGGGCAGGTAACGTCTTGTGCCTCAGTTTCCTCATCTGTAAAATAGGGGGTCAAAAAGGATCTCAACCTAGGACTGCTGTGAGGAGTAAATGACAGAATGTACGCTCAGCCATTAGAACAGTGCCTGGCACCATAGGCCCTTGATACATTACAGCATCATAGATCTAGCACATAAGAGCTTCATTTAATAAGGAGAATGAACTAGAAAACTCTTTTTATTTGTCTTAATGTTGCCCCCCTCCCCCTCCGATCTTTTTTTCCTTTGCCAAAAATCAGCGTCATATTTTTTAAATCCTAATAAAAATACAGGTCCAGACACTTTTATTACACCCTGAATTTCCAAAGTAAAACATCAAATGGAAAGAGATGAATGATCAGAGAGCAGTCACCAAGCCGGAGATCTGCTTTATGGCCAAAAAAACATGGACCATCCAAGCAGAGTCAAGACCCAACCGGGTCTGATGTGCAACTGGTTCAGAAATCCTGTTTCATAATCAAGGTGGATGCTGAGCCAGGGGAGAAGCAAACCTAGCAGGGTCGCACATTCCTCCTTTGGAATTCTGTATGGATCGGTAAGAAGGACAGTCAGCAGGCCCGGCGAGTCAGGGGCACAGGGAAGTGGAGGGAGTTACGGCGGCCTCAGGCTCCTGGACTCCTTCCTGCTCCCCAGGCCCCTGCCAGCCCCAGCCCGAGTTGGAAAGGAGCCACCTCTCCTTCCCAGGACACATGGAGGCATCCAAAGGCCACTGTGCTGCGGGGTTCTGGCTCCTGGAGTCCTAAAGCGCTCTCTACCCCATGCCAGGCACATGGCATGTGAGGGAGCCCTCTCCTGCCCTGTCCCCTCACCTAGAGCTTCGGCATCATCCCCTAGTTATGTGCCATGAAAACAAATCTGGATGGAGTCCTGGAGCCTGCTTCCAAAATCCTGCCCTTTAAAACAAAGCCAAGCATTCTGAAATTATCCTCACTTATTACTGAGTTCAATGCTAGTCATTACCAGACTCAGATTTGTAGGAGTAGCAGAACCTATTCAGCCTAATAGTGGCTTATCGTGAAGACATATTCTTATAAAACCAAGAAAAAGAAGTGAATTTAGTTCTATAAAGATAAACACCTAAAATAACTGTGATCTCTTTTGAATTGGGAACTATCTATTTGAAGAGGAGCTTGGAAGAGAAATTTGAGGCAAATTCCAAATCTTTGTAACTTACCTGGCAAATAAATCAGATTTTTCTCTGAAAGGTCAAGGCTAACGGGTTTCCAGGCGAGGCTGCTGGTGTCCAACAAGTTTCCAAGTTGTCTGTCCAAGTTAGAAAACAACCAACAGAAGTGAATGCTCCCATTTTTACTCAAACCGTCATAATTCTCTGTCCATTTACGGTAATGTTTCCAAGACAGAGGAGCTCAGAGGTCTCACAGAGCCCAGATTTGAAGTCTTGGCTCAGAATCCTAATCCACCACTTGACAGCCTTATAAATGTGAACGGGCAGCTTCTCCAAACTCAGTTTCCTCATCAAAACAGAGTTATTACCTGCCTCACCAGGTAGACAGAAGGACTAAAACCCAGGGTACAGACTAAGCCTTGGGTAAAGGTTAATCTCCCCATCCCTGCTTATGAAGCCAAACACCATATGTTACTGTCAGGTTAGCCTCTTCATAAGAGAAACTGTAGTTTGAGATGTAAGAGGGGTTATAGCTTGATTATAAAATCTTTAACTATTTGATTATCAATGAAGACATCCATTTATCCAGTCCCTATGGGATGCCAGCAAATACATTCAACTGCCCCCACTGTCCCAGGGTATATGATACCAGGGTACACTGGTTTTCTCACCCATCACTCATTCATTCCCTGCATGTTTACCTGCCAGCCACTACATGGGTGCTGGGGATACAGAAATAAAACACGCAGGGCCTGCCCTCCAGGGGCTCATAGCCTAGTGGGAGGGCAGGACACCAGCGTGTCCTAACCAAGGTCAGTTTTAAGAGCTTTAAGTGGGGTGAAAACCCTGAAGGACAGGGGATTTAGCCCAGGGAGGAGGGCAAGCAAGATGTGCCCAGCAGGATACATTGAGTGTGCAAAGGCATGGACGGGAGAGAGCGCCAGGAAGAGGGGAAGAGAGAGACTGACAGACATTGAGGAACTATAATCACCTGAGAGCTTGTTAGGAATACTGACGCTCGTGTCCCAACCCAGACTTCCTCAGTCAGACCTGACTTTAACAACA